TATAGATAGCTGTCAAATATAGTTATTCAAGTCATAAATATGACTTGAATAGCTGTATCTGACTTATAATAAAATGTTTTATTCATTTTTTTAAGAAATTATAAGTTTGAAAAAATATTTGGAATATTTAAAAATGAAAAAAGTACTTCAAATTATAAATTTTTGTTTCACAATCAAAAATCATTATATCTTAATAACAAAAATATAAACTTATAAACAAACGGCCAGTGGTTTTCAACCAGGGTGCTGCAATGACAGTACAGGGGTTCCTCAAAATATAGTGCCAAGTAGTGCCATAATATTTCTTACACGTATTACTAAAAGTGCACGTACAGTGACTCTACATTGATAAAGAAGTAGGAATTCTATTATTAGAAAAACATTGAAAAGCATTGGGTTAGGCTAATTACAATGGTCACGTAATAATTCCTATTACTTTTACTGCTTTTAAAACTGAATTTTACATACCATTTCAAATAACAAGTATAAAAAAAAATAATATAAATAATAATAATAATTAATTGTAATCATTAATTTTAAAACAGTTTAGCTCTTTATTTTTTGCAAAATTCCATAAATTAATTAAAAATTAGCTTAAATCAAGACTGATTTTTGGGCTTCATTTATTGTGGATTTATCTTGCTTTGATGTATTTTTGATTTTTTATGTATGTAAAAAATAATTACATGAAATTAATTTTTGTTGATTAATTGTAAATACAATAAAATATCATTCAATTAATAATTGTTGATCATATTTAGTGAGTAAATCATATGTTAGAAACTATAGACAATTAGATATTTTGATTCACTAATCTTATGCAGATCTGTAACTGAAATTAGTTTACAGACCTAAATTGAATCAATATTCAAAAATTCTCATCTTGTAAGAATTATATTTACATGTATGCAATAATTGCAAAATATTAGAATAAGTGTATATTTTAGATTTTAATTGACTGAAAAGAAATTCATCTAGTAAAAACATCAAACTACATCTTAATCCAGTAGAGATAAAAATTTAATGACGAACTAACGTTGAAAATTTTATTTTTGTTCTCTTCTGGATTAGGTGTAGTTTGGTGTTTTTATTATTAACAATATCAAGTATTTAAAGTGTGGTGTACATTAATTCTTCTAGTGTAAATATTATAATGAGGCATTTATTGTATGGGGAAGTCATCTTTTGCCATATGGCAATACTCTAGCTTGTGAAATAAATAAATATTGGCATGACTTTTTCAATTCAATCTGATATTTCAAAATCAATTCAAAATCTGATATTTTCTTGATCTTTATTAAAAGCATACCTTTCATACTTTTCCAGCTTGAATTTATTTATGACAAACAAAACATTTTCAATTTATTCATAAACTCGCTTCAGGTTTAGCATTCACATTCAAAAAATGCATCAGTCGGAAATTCCACAGACAAATGTTAAATTCGTTTATTTATTGTAATTCAACTCAAGCTGGAAAATTATGAAAGGTATGCTTTTAATGTCAATTGTTTCCGCATTAATACTTTAAATCCTTGATCTTTATTAATGCTACTTGAACGTCATATATATAATTAAATCAAATGAATTTTTTCATTTGATTTAACAACAAATTATTCTTTTAATTTAAAAAAAATGCAAATGTTTATAATATTTGAATATATCAATAATTGGAATGTTGTGCAAATTGCCATAGAAATTGAGATAAATCTAATTTTCTGAAAAACTTCTTTAAAATTATTATGTATTAATACTTTCATATAAAAAGATTTAGATATGATATGAAGCAAAACATTTTGCAAAAATTTTGTGCAATATCTTTCAATGGTTAAAAGAATTGCATTTGTAATATTTCTCAATCAAATAGAATTTGTATTTTGGATAAATGCTTAATTCATCTTCTTAGGAGTAAGTTTAATTTAAGTGTTTATTATTATTTATTATATAAGTTTGTTCTGAAATTTTAATTTAATTTAGTTATTTAAATATTCTTTAATGGATTTGCATTAAGATTTATAAATTAAAATGTGTGTTCTTTTTGTTGAATAATAATTTATTCTAGTTAATAATGTCAGAATCTTCTATGAAATATTAATCAAAAGAATAATTCTTGTTTTTTATCAGTTAATAATTTAAAATATAAGGAAAAAAATAGAAACCAATTGAAGATTATTACAAGATGTAATATATTTTTTTCCAGAATAAGGGAGATGATGATTGATTGTTAGAGAAAAGCTATTTGGATTCAAATTAAATTGTTAAACAATAAAAATTCGTATAATTTTTCTAATCTAAGTATCTCCAATTTAAAGTTATATTTTAAAATTACAAAATATTATTAACAAGATTGAGGGAAATTAAAACAATTGCTTTATGAGAAAGAGTAGCGATTATTCCTGTACACAGAATAATGCCGTTAATATTAATAAAATGGTTGTGTAACTTCATTTATTTTCATTTATATATTTCATATCATATTTGAGATCAACAACTTTTCACTGGTGTCACTAGTGGCTTTTTGATCCCAATTGCTAAGCTAAATCTAATTTTTATTAATGATTTCAACAATTAAGTAATTTGAAGGTAATTATTTTTAATAATAATTGCAATTATTAAAAAAAAAATAACTCAAACTGCAAAGTGTACTTTTACATTTTCAATGTATTGAAATCTTTTTATTTACATAACGAATAAAGATCATTACATTTAACTAAGTGTATTTAGAAATGTTGAGATATATTAATTTATAATTATTTCTATTTGTTTAAATCTAAACAAAGTCAAAATATTTCATTCCAAAACATTTTTAATACTTGTGGAATAAATTATATTAAATAGTTAAAAGGTTATATTAGATTCTTTTATATAAATAATGCTAAATTGTCCTTTAGAGCCATGTACACACGTACCAGTTACCTGAATGTACAGATGACAGAACTGTCATCCAGATGTTCATGTATACCGGTACATGTGTCCCCAGCTTAGAACATATTTATTATTTAAATATTAAGAATCATTTACATAGAATCAGTAAAATTTTCATGAAATAATACATATCAAAGTAACACTGTTCGATTGGAATATTTTTTTTTGAAATTTTGAACAAAAATTAATAAATTTAACTTATTGTCTCTTTATAGTCTTAATGATATTCAAATATTTGGTTATGGTGAGATTTATAAGATTTGCTTGAGAAGAAGCTGTTTAACTACTTTTTATATTAAACAAATAGAAATTAATTTAATTTTCTTTGTAATTTTATAATTGTTTAGTGGTTAGCAAAATGACCGTCTCCAGAATATATTCATACTTAATCTAAAGCCGACAAAATTTTTTTGACATTAAATTCTGTTTAGATGGTACGTATAACAAATTAGATGAAAAATGTCAAGATATAAAAGATGTGCAATATTATTTGTGTCATTCCAATATTATCATATTTTAAGTCTTTTCTTGTCACTGAATACTGTTGTTTTCCCCAACTTTATTGGAGTGACAGTTAATAAATCTTTAAAATATTCTTTGCATAATTGTTAAAATGATTTCTTCAATATTTAAAAAAGTATATACATACCTTTTTTTTTAATCACACTTATAAATTCTAAATCAAAATCAAAATGTAATAATAATAATAATAACCACCTATGATGAAATGCCTTAATTATATTTTTGTCAATCTGACATTATTCATCTCTCATTTACTGTTTGTAAGTTGTCTTTATAAGTAAAGATATGAATTCTTTATCTTGTTTATTCTTTGAGCTGTGTAATTATTTCTTTAGTAAAATTTATCTTATGATGGATGGTTGACATTTATCATTTTTTCATTTCTGTAAAATCTAACATTTGAGTAATGATACGTACGACATCAAGAAAGAATCATTATTTTCTTCTAATGAGAGATGCTTTCTTTGATTTCATTTAAATTTAATCCAGAACTGCCATTTCTAGGCTCATAGCTTAGAAATGTTCTAAATAATGAAAATAATTATTTTATTAAATAAATAATAACTTGTTAATAAAATATAAATATTTATTTTGTATACATATATAACGTTTATTTTCAAATATATACGTAATGCTTATTTTTAAAACTAGCATTTTTTTCTTTTCTTTTGATTTGTAAAATATTTAATGTAACTTTAATATTCATTAAAGTTTTATTTATTATGTTTAATAAGTTTAATTATGTACACTACCTTCAGTTGTATGAGCTAAGCTTTTACTATTTTAAAGCTTGTTTACTTTTTTTGAATGAATTAAAAAATGCAAATAAAAAGTTTTTTTAATATTGCTTTAATAGTATTATTATTATAACAGAATTTATTAATTTAAACTTGATCATCTGTTTATTATTTATTAATAATCAGTATAAATTACCATTATTTTTTAAAATCTATATTATTATTAGAGAATGACATACTTACCTTTAATACTAAATTATTCTAACTATTAATAAACTGCAGAGAACAATCAATAGTAATTTAGCATATTGTTAATGTTTAAAATTTTAATAAGGTTATTAAATTTTAACATTATTATACAGTTCATCTGCACTAGTATATAAATAATTTTGAGTGTAATGAGTAAATAAATTATATAGATAAATTCTTTTTAACTAAATAATGAAAAATTGTAAATTTATTTTTATATGAAACCTTTCTTCCATTGTTACTGCTATAAATATAATCAGGTATTTCATTATTCAAGTTATCTGTTAATCATTTAATTTAAAATTTTCAGAATTAGAATTAAATTACTAGTATGTAAGGAAATTTTATAACATTTAAATATATAATACATAAGTTTTACATTTGAAAATACATCACTTATCCATATTTTAAATATCTTATTTAGAATTTGATAGAATTTAATATAGAATTATAAGAATAAAGATTTATGATTTATTAACAATTAGTTATTTTTAATTGATTGAATATAATTAAAATGTAATAAGCTTTAGAATTTTTAAAATATGCTCATTAATTTTTTTTTCCTCCCAGAAAGTTCTAATAATGGAGAAATGGATGAGTGGGATAGTCAGCATATGACTGCAATGGAAGCTCCTCTATACCAATCCTATACTGTATTTATGATTCATAAATTAGGAAGAAATACTGAAGTACAACTTGGTAAGTAGAATAAAAAAAAATAGCTTAAATATATAAATGATATAATATAGAATTATAAATAAAAAATATATAATATCTTATAATGGAACATTACAAATAAAATTGGGAAAATGTATACTCTCTCCAAATTTAATGTTGTATAATTGAGCATTCTTTCCTTTATTTCTGAAAAATGTGATGAAAAGTCATATATTCTTCATTTTCTCGATCTGGAATATAATGAGAACATATTTATGTTCTTAATTTTTATTTATTTATTTAAATTTGTTTTATGAAAAATAATAAAAAAATGCCTCGTATGTAAATACATAAAAATGGAGAGAAAAATATAGATAAAAAGTCATTTTTTAATTACTTTGATTTTACAGTAATTTACTATATTATTAGTTTTTAATTAAAAGAATTGGACAAATAGAACTGAGGGAAAAAAGAAAAGGTTTTAAAATTTTTCTCCTTTACAGGCACTAGGCAGATATATCAATAATTCAAAATTAAGATTTGCATTACTGTAAATTGGAAATTTCTTAAATAAAATTAAATGCTGTGAATAGTATAAATAAAACAATTAAAAATGAAATAGACTAACATTTATTTATGATATTTTGCTTTTAGATACATGAATCTCTAAAAATTTAAATCAGTTTTTTCTATAAGGAATTTCCCACATTTTTAATAACAATTTTAATCCAAAATATAATGAGACTAGTATCATATATTGTGTCAAAATTTAGTAATTAGAAAAAATTTCATACAAAGCATAATTACTATTGTAATCATACATAATAATGTTTACTACAAGAATGTACAGTTTGTATAATAAATTATTACAGATTTGAATCATATGCAAATAGTTATATTTAATTTCTATTAACATAAATTTTAAAATTTTGTTTTGCATTTAAAATACTTTAATCTGGAGATAGGGTTCAGCTTTACTTTTCATTGGTTATTCCGTCGAAACTGGATGGTTCACTAGTACAAATAATTAAGCTGATTGCTTGTAACATAATAAACTAATGATACCTTCTCTATTATCGCTGCTAATCTATGTTCTAATTGATTAATTTAACTGTAATGCATTCAATTTCAATTTGTATTAGGATTTGTTAATAAATAATCATTTAATAATGTATATAATTGGTATTAGTTACAAATGTAGTTAAGAGTATTTTTAATTTATACACAGTACTTTACTACAACTTTCCAAATATTTTGTAAACTTTTGCTTCATATGACTTTTCAGGCTTATGTAAGATTTTGTTTTTAAATGACTGAAAATAGATAAATAATTTAAAATGTAAAAATTAAAGAAATAGTACAAAAGCTTTTCATGTAACACTATTAAAAAATCTTACTGTCCCAAAAAATGAACCACAAAATTTATGAATAAGATTATTTTGACAAATGCTAAATAAGTTTTTTTCATTTTTTAACTTTTAAATTAACTAACAAATGCTACATTAAGTGAAATTAATTAGTTATTGCTTTTTGAAATGATTCTATCAGACTGCCTTTTCAGCAATTCCTAGGAACATATAAATATATAAATTTACAAGATATTAAAATAAAGTGAACAGGATGCACTATGTTATATGATCTGTGTATGAGACCTGCACAGTTGACCTATTAAAGTAGTAATATTTAAACTGTGTTTCATAGAACCATAACGTTTCATAAAGCTATAGTAAAAGAAATTTTTATTTTCGTTAAAGATAAGTTACAATTTATAAATTTTTATTAATATCTAAACTATTAGAAGTTTAATTACAAGATACTTTGAAAATAAAAACATTAAAGTTTTTTTTTACATACTTTTTTATTTCTTAAAGCTTTATTACTTAAGATTTCACAAAAATAATAGTCAAGCCTGAGGGTTCCTAGATGTTAAAAGCTTGAAGATTTGTATATTAAAGGTGCTTTTAATTGTAAAGGTAATGGAGAACACTGAAATAATTTTACACACATGAAAAAGATCTTTACAGGAGTAAATAACTATAAATTCCCAAATATAGAGCAATCTTTTAGAAAGTAGAAAATCTTTAAAAAGTCTCTTCTTTGCAAGATTGCTTTTATATCTGCATTAGTATTTACTAAAGATGGGCAAATATCATTTTTCTTAAATTCTAACATTAACCAGATCTCAAAACCCCTAAATATTTAGGGAACTTGATTACCTTATACAGTGGTACCTCGGTATATGTCTGCTTTAGAGTACATCCAATTCGGAATACGTCCTGTTTGGATGAAACAAATTTTGCTCGGTATACGACTCAATTCAATTATATGCACCATCTATGAACAAGTAGCACTATCGGTGTACTAGGCCAGACTAGACGTTTGCAGTGCCACAGTTTATAACTTTGTTAAATTTCTTCTGATTTTAATTTGTAAGTAAAATTTTATTATTTTTATTAATCATGAATTGCAAAAAGGCAAATTAAAAGCAACAGAAAACTAAAAAAAATGACTAGAATCACAATGGAACTGAAAAAAGAAGACTGTTGAGAAATATGAAGGTGGCATGCGTATTTGAGATTTTAACTGTTGCATACCGTATTCCGAGAATGACAATATCGACAATCGTGAAAAATAAAGACATTATTAAATCTGCTAACGTTGGGAAAGTAGTTAAATCAATTTCTAAACAGAGATCAAAGACATTAGATCATGTTAAGAAATTGCTTTTGCTTTCGATAACTGAAAAACAGTGTGCTAGAGACAGCATATCAGAAGCAATTATTTGCAAGAAAGCTAAAAAGATACATGCTGATCTCATGAAAAATCAAGCAGGAAAGCAAGGTGTTTAAAGCCAGCCATTTTATTTCATGAGAACGGATTAATCATTTTTACATTACTTCTTATGGGAAAGGTTGGTTCGGTATACGTCCTATTCGGTATAAGTCCAAACATCAGGAACAGATTAAGGTCGTATGCTGAGGTTCCACTGTAATTTATTAAGTATTTATTATTTAACTTTATTTATTCCAATATATTAATAAATTAAGAAAGTAAAACAAACAGTGAAAAAAAACTAAATTTTATGAAATAAAACTTTAAACTTTAATTTTTAACTTTGTGTTGTAAAGTAGCTTTTTTAGATACTCTTATCTCAACTAACACATCACTCAATAAGTTTCCGGTCTAACTAAGAAAAACGATTTTTTTTATAAATTCGACTTTATTCATCAACATACTCTCCTTCAAGAGTGATACATTCATTCCAAAGCTCCTTTAACTTTTCGATGCCTTTTTTTGTAGAACGATTTGTCTTTGCTCTCAAAATAGGCCTCAGTTTCGGCAATCACTTCTTCATTTGAGCCAAATTTCTTTCCCTGGAGCATCTTTTTGATGTCTGCAAAAAGCCAGTAATCACTGGGGGCCAGATCTGGAGGGTACGGTGGGTGAGGAAGCAATTTGAAGCATAATTCATTTGATTTAACCATCGTTTTCATCGATTTGTGACACAGGGCATTGTCTTGGTTGAACAGCACTTTTTTCTTTTGCATGTGAGGGCGTTTTTTCTTGATTTCTACACACAATCGATCCAATAGTGCCGTGTAATATTCGCTNTCATTTTTACATTACTTCTTATGGGAAAGGTTGGTTCGGTATACGTCCTATTCGGTATAAGTCCAAACATCAGGAACAGATTAAGGTCGTATGCTGAGGTTCCACTGTAATTTATTAAGTATTTATTATTTAACTTTATTTATTCCAATATATTAATAAATTAAGAAAGTAAAACAAACAGTGAAAAAAAACTAAATTTTATGAAATAAAACTTTAAACTTTAATTTTTAACTTTGTGTTGTAAAGTAGCTTTTTTAGATACTCTTATCTCAACTAACACATCACTCAATAAGTTTCCGGTCTAACTAAGAAAAACGATTTTTTTTATAAATTCGACTTTATTCATCAACATACTCTCCTTCAAGAGTGATACATTCATTCCAAAGCTCCTTTAACTTTTCGATGCCTTTTTTTGTAGAACGATTTGTCTTTGCTCTCAAAATAGGCCTCAGTTTCGGCAATCACTTCTTCATTTGAGCCAAATTTCTTTCCCTGGAGCATCTTTTTGATGTCTGCAAAAAGCCAGTAATCACTGGGGGCCAGATCTGGAGGGTACGGTGGGTGAGGAAGCAATTTGAAGCATAATTCATTTGATTTAACCATCGTTTTCATCGATTTGTGACACAGGGCATTGTCTTGGTTGAACAGCACTTTTTTCTTTTGCATGTGAGGGCGTTTTTTCTTGATTTCTACACACAATCGATCCAATAGTGCCATGTAATATTCGCTTTTGATAGTTTTACCTTTCTCAAGATAGTCAATGAACAAAATACCATGCACATCCCAAAATATGGATGCCATAACCTTGCCAGCTGATTTTTGAGTATTTGGTCGCTTTGGATGACTTTCACCAGCTGCTGTCCACTCAGCTGATGATCTTTTTGATTCAGGTGTGTAGTAATGGATCCATGTTTCATCCATTGTCACATACCTATGCAAGAAATCCTTTTTATCTTGCTTGAACAGCTTCAAACATTGCTCTGAATCGTTGATGCGTTGTTGTTTTTGGTCCGGTGTGAGCAAACTTGGCACCCATTTCGAAAGCAACTTTCACATGCTCAAATTTTTGTATAAAATTGTAAACACACTACCTTCTGATATCTTTAAAGTATCAGCTAACTCACGCAACTTCACTTTACAGTCTTTCAAAACTATTTTGTGGACTTTTTTTATGTTTTCTGGAACAACTGCCGATTTTGGGTGACCAGAACATTCAGCATCATCGGTGTTTGTACGATCGTGTTTAAATTCAGCTTACCAGTCTGTAATAGTTGATTTCCCTGGTGCTGAGTCTCCATAACGCTTATCAAGCCATTGTTTGACTTCAACAGTATTTTCCCCCCATCAAAAAACAATGTTTAATCAACACACAAAATTATTTTTTATCCATTGTTTTGAAAATTACAAAACTGTGGTTACTAAAACCACTG